ATTCGTATCTAATTGTTAAATTGTGTTGATCTAAACGAAAATTAGTAAAATAAAAATAACTATATACGTATATTATAAGGGGAGTAAAAGGGTTTAAAATAAATATTAAGTGAACAATGTGAATATGTAAAAAGATACGAATTTGAAATTCAATAAAAAGGCATAAGATTATCGTGTATGATATTGTAATAAAAAAGAAGAAATGAAAAAGATCAACGAACCAACCAACCAACCAACCAACCAACCAACCGACCATTGAAGAAAAAGGAAAAACAGCAAAATTATAGCGTGCTGATGTAAGAAATAAAAAGGGGTGGTATTACGGTGAGATAATTTAAACTCTCGTTCGCATCAAAGAACGCGGAATTTTGCATTTTGCAACGAGAGGACAAATTCAACGATTAGTTGCACGCGAAGTAACGCGTACGTGAACGAAAGCAGAAGGTTGGCTCCCGCGAAGGAGCTTGCGAAGGGGTTGTTAAAGGGGTGGTACTGTTCCTAGCGGTAGTGGTGGTGGTGGTGGTGGTAGATGGAAGAAGGAGAAGGATGAAGAATAAGGAGGAGTCAAGGGTCGCGGCGGTTCCGCCGGTAATTTTCCGCCGGGTGCTTCCGGGAAATGTTTATTCATAAGTCCCTTTAATGTACGCGTCCTACGATTGTTCTAACCCCTTTACATTTTCTACACCCCCTGTTCTAACCTTTTTCTTTTTTACCTATATATTTATATATTTTCTTTTCTTTTCTTTTCTTTTTTCTCTTTCACGATTTTGGATCCTTTTTACGTGCGCGTTAAAATGACAAGAAACTGCATTACTCTCGTTGTTATTTTTAATTATATAGATTTTTGTATGATATAATATATATTCGAAGTAAACGAATGAACTTATTTTTTGTTCTTTTTTTAACAGATAAATTGTTTAAAACGAAGATAGTTGGCGCTATCGATTCGTGATTATTATAGCTTGCCGTTTGTTCTTATTTTAATACAAACAAAAAATTTGTTTTTCTTTCCTTTTTTATTCTCCTTTTTTTTTCTATTCTTTTATTTTTCCATCTCTTGTACCCATATCTACCCTTTTTTTTTCCTCGCCTTTCCATCCGCGTTTTCTAACCTTAATTTAAGAGTTCCAATGTACTCGAGACCACCTCCTCTTCCTCCTCCTCCTCCTCCTCCTCCTTGCTTTCCGGTTATTCTTACGCTGGTTGTTATCTTTTGTTCGCATGAAAGAAAAGAGTAGGAATAGCCGAGGACCGGGGATGGAAAGCTGCGACTCTCTCTCTCTCTCTCTTTTTCTTTCTCTCTTGAGAGGGGTACGAGCGGAGGAAACTCGGAATAAGAGAAAAGAATGTGAACTGGCTCGCGGCTTGTAGGAATGAGGATGAAGGGGGTGGGTCTGAGGGAAAGGGTTGTTTGGTGAGAGGAAAAGAGATGGTATGGGTCTAGCTAAAGGATTTATATCTTTGGAAAGAAGAAGAGTGTCCCGACACTGACCAGAGAGGATATAGAATGAAAATTGTTTTTTAAAATCTTTCCTACAGAATTGTTCTCTTTTTTTCTCTCTCTCTCTCTTTTTTTCTCTATTATTCTTCTTTTCTTTTTCTTATTTTATTAATATTTCATTATACCATTTCTATTCTTCTTTAATTACGCAAACAAACGAGCTTTCAAATGCGTCGAATAAAAATACGATATAATCGGAAATTTTTTCGTAAAAATTTACTCCGCGACACATTGAAAAGCGGATAAGAGAAACAAACATATACACACATAAGCAAACAAACACGTGTATTTATATACACAACGGAAAGTGAATGAGTAGGAGGGGGAAGTCTAGTTGAGCGACAAAGTGGCGGAAATGAAACACAAGCGCGTAAGATTGAGCCCGACATTGGTAAAAGGGTTTGTTAGAATAATGGAAGGGATGATTGGAAGTTCGACCATAGAAGTACAGTCAGAAGACGAATAGATGTGTGCCAATGATAACGTCGAAGCTAGAAACGAAATAGACGCGACCCACCATCACCACCATCACCAACCCTCCTCCTCCCACTTCTCGTCCCAACTACGAACAAATATTTATCCGATAAATATTAGGATTTGAATTTATATATTTTGAAAACGTGACTGCATCGATAGAGCACGAACTTTGCTTTCAGATTTTCTCGCGTTTCGAAGAAACAAATGGAAATGGTTTGTGGGAAAGAGGGGAAGGGGGTGGTAATGGGATTGATAATAAATATCCTTCGAACTTAGGAACTAAATCGAACTATCGAATTTTTCAAAAGACATTTTTGATTGTTGTTCATGTAATAATAATTGCATAAGATTTGTTTTTATTTGTTTTTATTTGTTTGTTTGTTTGTTTATTTGTTTGTTTGTTATTTTAATCGTTTCCTGAGAAACAACGATGACTATAATTAGGATTCTTGGTATAGTTAAAATATTGTATAAGTGTGTATACATGGGTTTTAGTCGAGAACCCTTTTCCATTTACGATATACTCTTTCGTTAACTTAATTATGATTCGTCATCGTGCATGTCGTCGTAGTTTTACTTCGTCGGCTGTTTATCTTATCGTTTTATCGTAGTACTTTACTCCGATGCATTTTCTAGAATATTATTAAAGTACTTCCGAGAACGTACAACCACGAATATAACCCCAAGCGCGCAGAGTCCATGGAACTACTCGAAAGAAAATAATAATTATCGATCAAATTTTTCTCTCTTCCCCTCATATAATCACTTATATGGAATTACAAAATATTATTTCTTCGGCTCGTCCTTCGATTATTTCAATGACAAATTGTCTATCGTCCACGTTTCGCGATTAATTTGAAAGAGAATGGTTTGACGTTGTCACGGTACTTATTAGCATCCATTAATGCTTTTTTTTTTTCTTTCTTTTTTATTTTCACATTATCTCATTCAATTGAACGATTTAAACGCGATTACATTTTTCATATAGAAATTTTGAAATGTAATATTGATTTTTTCTAACGTACTTCATCCATATACATTCTCCTCTCAATTAACCAACGCATAATTATTATCCTTATAGTAATAATAAATAAAATAAAAAAAAAAAAAAAACAAAAAGTATGACGAAAGTTTTCACCTTGATCCTTCATTTCTGATTCGATTTTGAGATAAAAAAAAAACAAAAAAACAAAATGACTTGACATATAGAAACACCGAGAAGAAGGTTTTAAATAAAATCTACGAAATTTATAAAATGATTTTAAGGTTTTACGGTTAGATTGATGATTAAGTATAGAAATATAAGATAAAATACGAGAATTAGAAATATAACAAAAAGGATAAAATTATTTTTCGAACAATCGAGAATATATGACGATACAAATAAATATATGCATAATGGTCGTCGTTGTCGTAGTCGTAGTAGTTGGTCGGTTGGTTGGTTGGTTGGTTGTTCGAGTCAAAACGCGGAACTGATACTCCGGAAATGAGTTAGAGTGGTTTAATGATCGAGAGTGCTAGTGCCGATAACGAAGAGAGGCGGAAAGAGCTCTGGCGCTAGGCACAATGCTACAAACGAAGTAGATTACTCCCGATGCTATCGTAAATATTAATCGGCCATACTGAATAATGAATTGATGTCTCTTGCCTTTCACTCGATATAACTCGTAACGTCGTTTTTCACTGTTGTATTATATCGTTGAGACGGTTGGTAATCAAAACGACTTCCGTATCTCTTTCTCTTCTGTTTTTCTTCCCCCAACTCCCTCCCCCTCCC